TAAAGTTATCCTTAACTATGCTCTTTCTCTTCCAGCGTATGTCCAACCTAGAAGAAAGTCCCCTGATCTCTACTTTCAAAACATCACCAGAATCTGACACTGATCACCACCCTACTGCTATCATCCTGGTCTAGGCTATCATGCCATGCCTGGGTTGTTGACATATTAAGTGTTTTCCCTACTTCTGCCCTTGCCCTCTTCAATCTATTTTCTTTTTTAAAAAATATATCTTTATTGATTTCAGAGAGAGGAAAGAAAAGGGAGGGAGATAGAAACATCAATGATGAGAGAGTCATTGATTGGCTGCCTCCTGCATGCCCCCGACTGGGGATCGAACCCACAACCTGGGCACGTGCCCTGACTGGGAAGCGAACCCCGATCGCTTGGATCCTATGTTGACGCTTAACCGCTGAGCCATGCCTGGCCGGGCTCCATCTATTTTCACTCAGCAGTCAAAGTGATCTTCTCCTGTGAAACCCTCCAATGGCCTCTCAGCTCATTCCAAGGAAAGGTAATGTGTTCAAAAGGTGCACAGCCTGGCCCTGTTACCTCTGGTCTGCTCCCTCTCAGTCTTCCCCATGCTCATTCTGCTCCTGTGTGCCAAATGTGCCAAGCCCATGTCAGCCTCTGGACCTTTTCCCTGCTTTTCCTTCTGCCTCAACCATTCGTTCCCCAGATGTCAGCATAGCTGGCTCCCTCACCTCCTTCAGTTCTCTACTCAAAAGTCATCCCCCAAACAGGCCTCTTGACCACCATGTTTAAAGTTGCAATATCTGTACCCTAAAGTTCCTTAACTCCCTTCTCTGTTTTATTTTCCTTGATGGCATCCAACAAAGTACATCTTATATTTATTTATTTTCTGTCTCTCTACCTCCTCTCCCATTGGAAAGTAAGCTCTGTTTTGTTTACTGGATTCACCCAACACTTAAGAACACTACCTGGTACACAGCAGGATCTTGATAAATATTTGCTGAATGAATGAGTAAAGGAGTGAGGGAACAGAAGCCCAAAAAGGCTGACTGGCTTGCTCAAGGCCTTACATGCAGTTTGTGCCAAGGTCCAGGCTGTGGTTTTCCGAGTCACTCATTACTAATGTTCCTTAGATCTCAAAATTTGCCTGCTACTCCCTGTAGAGTTTTGTCTAGGTGGTGAATGGGTGAGGGCAAGGGGCTGGCTCTGTGCTCTGGGCTGGGTGTGTGTTTTGTTCTTCCTATCTTGGTCATGGCACTTCCCAAAGACCTCACCCATTGTTTCCCACCAAGCCTCACCTCCCACGGCTAAACCCAGGCTCAAAATACTGTTGGCATCCTGTGCTGTAGCGTTAAGTAGTATTTCATACTGAAAAGACTGTTCAAAGACAATCACGACTGTCTTATTACTTCTTTAAAAGACTGGACCTAAGCCATCCCAGAGACATTAACAGCTTTCATATCCTCTAAAAACTTCCAGACAAGAAGATTCCATAATTTCCTCTACACTTGGCAGTGCTACTGCAGGAACATTCTTTATTGCACCCTGTGGTTAAGACTTAACAACAAATGCCTTTTCTTCAGAATCCTTCTGGGTCAGTTGTCCTTTTGGTTTAGCACTGAAAAAAACAAGGTCTGCCCTAAAATGTTGAGGGGAGGGAGGGAAGGAGGAACGGAGGGAGGGTAAAGGAAAGGGGGTGGGGGGAGAAAGTGAAAAATAGACAGCAAAGGAAAGAGCTAGAAAGAGAGTGAGCACAAGTCTGAAATATATTCGTACCTAAGGAAGCATAAGGTCCACCTGAAGGGGCCATACTTACCCCTACTCTATAGCTATTCTCTGCAAGAACCCTTCCCGTTCTCTAGAGGGTGAAAGGACATGGGAAACAAGCCAAAGAAAGGCGGTGGAGCCTTGGCAATAACCTCTTCTCCCCCCACCCTAGACAAAATTTATTTTGACAAAAATTATGTATATTTAAGGTATAGGATGATGTTTTGATATACGTATAGACTGTGAAACGATTACCACAATCAAACTACAGGTAATTAACATCTCAATCACCTCCCATAGTTTTTTTTGTGTGTGTGTTTTTATGGTGAGAACCATTGAGATCTACTCTCGTAGCAAATTTCAAGTATTAACTATAGTCACAATGCTGTACATCAGGCTTCCAGAACTTATTCATCTTATAACTGAAAACTATCTCCCCTTTTGCCCTACCCCCACCCCCAGCCTTTGGTACCAACCATTGTACTCTCTCTGTTAGCTGAGTTTGACTTCTTTTTAGATGCCACATATAAGTAAGATTCTGCAATATTTGTCTTTCCGTGTCTGGCTTTTTTTCTCTTAGCATAATGTCCTCTAGGTTTACCCATGTTGCTGGAAACAGCAGAATTTCCTGCTTCTTTAAGACTGAATAATATTCCGCTGCATGTATGTGTATGTATGTGTGTGTGTGTGTGTGTGTGTGTGTGTATATATTGCATTTTCTCTATCCAGTCATGTCAATAGACATTTAGGTTGTTTCCACATCTAGGCTATTATGAATAATGCTGTAATGAACACAGGAGTACAGACTTCTCTCCAAGATAGTGATTTTCTTCCTTTCAGATATATGCCCAGAAGTGGAGCTGCTGGATCACACAGTAGTTCTATTTTTAATTTCTTGCGGAACCTCCATTCCGTTTTGCACCGTGGCTGAATCAACCTGCATTCCCACCGACAGTGTCCAAAGGTTCCCTTTTCTCCACATCCTCGCCAACACTTGTTATCTTTAACTCTCTGATATTAGACCCTAGAGAAAACCTCTTAACAGCTGCTCTTCCCTTAGTACCTAGTATTTTGAGAGGGAGCCAAGCAGCCCCATAAGAATGGGGTTTAATGGCAAACTCTTTGTGGGTTCCATGTCTTCTAAGGAAGCATACCCCATTCCTGCCCTCTGCACTCAACACACTGTATTAATGAACTTCATGACTGTGATGCACCTCTAGTGTGGTCGGCATCCAGCCCAAAATGACTATAGCTGAGGAGGTGCTTGCTGAGCCAACTTTAATACTAATGAGCAGTGGGATGATGGCCTTGCAATGCTTGGCACATCAACCACTTTCTCTTCATCTCTTAGCACAAAATACACTTACTAATTATAAATTAAATGATCTGTTTCATTATTTAACGAAAGTACTAAGTACAATGCCTTCTCTTCTACTGTTTGCTGATACACATTCCTGGGTGTGTTTTTCAATGGAGAGTCAACACTCAAGTCATCTAACTGCTAGGGACTATCTGTCACTCCACTTTTGATGGTGGGGGGGAGAGGAAGTAAGGCATTTCGATTACTTCTTGGCTTCTGGAAGGAGGTCTCTATTTTTGTCTCTCCCCCTTCCAGTTAAGAGGCTACACTGGCACTGTGGCTCTAATTTGCTGGTCATCGTGTTGCCCATCAATACCCAGGATTTGGGGGTAGAACTGTACAACTAGACAGCAGCTGGAAGCAGAGCTGGGTTTGGCCTAAACTGACCGAGTAGGGAGCAGGAGTGGTGGCAGTCTGTATCTGGAAGCTTCATAGTCCAAGGAGGAGCTCTCAGACTCGGTCATGCTGGCCCCTGAGAAACACAATGGCGGTCTGGCCAGGGAATGTAGAGGTGGGCCAAGTGTGAACAGGACTGGGATAGGGCCAGAAGCTGATTTGTATTCAGTGACAGAATTATGATGAGGTTCTAAGATTTCCAAGGGGCTAATCAAATGCTTTTTCTTACATCATATCAACCAAATAAATGCCAGTTACTTCCAGGCAGCTACTTTCAAAGGTAGTGTTAGGGATTTCTTGTTTATTCACCATTTAATTCAAATTCTATGAAGTCATGTCCTGAGCTAAGAGGGACAATGACCACAGAGCCTGCAAGGACATTTCAGTATGTACACAGTAAGAAGAAAACAATGCCCAGTGCTTGGGGCCACAAGAGGGTGCTCTGAGCAGGGGGACAGTGCTCCTGGAAGGAGGCCTCAGAAACAATTACAGACCCACAAAGGAGAATGCCACTGGAGCTGGCTCCCATCAGCAAGATACTTAGATGTGATGGGGGCTTTGGTTTCTCCTCAGGCTGCTGTGAAGAGCTGCTCAGTGGATCACTGCACAACTGTGAGACTATGGATGTGAGTTGCACCCCTGGGAATTGTACAGTGGTGGTGGTCGTGGCCCTAGAGCTGTACAATGTGCTGGTGCACAAGGGAGTGCTTCTGGCCCTAAACACAAAGTCTAAGGCTGCTCAGTGTCACCCTTGGTCCCATGAAAATGAAGGGCAGTTAGGATGATGGAAGAAAAGAAATTGTATACAGTTCAAAGGGTGAAGAATTTAATGGTTTGCCATTGTGAAGCCCATCCTTTGAATTCCTGCAGCTCAAGCCATCCAATTGAATGTCATCTCTGGACAGATCAGGTCCAGCTACCATTGTCCTCAATGGACAGAAATGACTGGACTCACTGAAGTAATTAAGAAACCTGAGTAGGGTATTTTCAACAATGGTGAGAAAAGCAAGTTTACACTTCTTAGAATCTTACTATATTAACTGTCAAAATTACTGCTTGCTTTTACTTTTTCCCCAAGCAAGAGAGGTGCTGTGAATACTCTCATTCTTTAACTCTCAGGGGAAATCAAGTGCTCCTTCAATCATCTGAAACAGAAATATCATAGCAACAGTCCCAGTGATTCAGATCCCACATCTAGGACTGTACCAAACTTTGGCTGAACTACTCAAAACCTGAGAGTAAGTGAACTAGAAACTACGAGTGACTGTGAGCCACAGGTGGGGTTCAGTTCCCTTCAAGAAAGATGCTCTGTTCAGATTCGTGTCTCGGAGACTTTTCACGTATCAAATAGAAACTGGTTATGACACAAACCCAACGTGTGGGTGACTTGGACATCAGCGTGAATGGGGATGTGGCACAGGGTCCACCTTCTAGCTCCTATTCAGCCAACTGTCTGCATGTCAATACGCCCCCATTAGCAACACACAATCAAACCAAACTACTGTACCTCCTCAGGCAAGCTGACCACCAAGTCATTTTTCGTCTGTCCGACCAGCGCCTGCCAGAAGTATTCACTGCACGCAGCCAGCACAGCCCGGTGGGCCCGGAACTCCTTCCTCTCCACGATCAGAGTCACGTCACAGAGAATATCCTTTTTCCGCTGGTCATTGAGGCCCAGGAGGATGTTGGTGCAGTGGACTGTGGACTCATACACATACATGGGGGAGTCAGGCTTCTCATCCACAGACATGCCGTTCACACCCTGAAAGAAAGCAAGGCCCGGTTACCGCGGAGTCACAGAGAGGAGGTGGGAAAGAGCTCCATGGCTCCTGAGTCTCACTGCCACGAGCCAGTCGGAAAGGGGCAGCCCTTCTCGCCCTCAGTGCAGTGGGCTCAGGAAACACTGGAAAGTCATATTTTGTGGCTGACTTTATCCATTCCATTTACTGCCTCCTTTTACCCCACGGAAATGAAACCAGGTCTTTTTCTGTTCTGTTTTGTTAATCTTCACCTGAGGATATTTCTTCCGTTGATTTTTAGAGAGAGGAGAAAGGAAGGAAGGAGGGAGGAGAGAGAGGAAGGGAGAGAGAGCGAGAGAAACATCGATGTGAGAGAGACACACCGACTGGTTGCCTCCCCCACTCGCCCTGACTGGGGCCAAGGATCGAACCTGCAACCCAGGTACATGCCCTTGACGAGGAACGGAACCCATGACCCTTCAGTGCATGGGCCGGCGCTCCATCCACTGAGCTGCACTAGCCAGGGCTGAAGCCAGGTCTTTCGAAAGAACACCCAAAACATTTAAAACACATACATACTTTAAAAGTTGGTGGTTTTGATTTTGTTAGCCAACTGAAAAGAAACTTTCATGTATACACACACAGTCCCAACTCGAGTATTAATTTGAGCTCTGTGTTAAGAGGAAATGAATCATTTTTGAAGTATTTGTAATGCTTTCTTGAGGTAAACACATGTAAGTTGCTAAGCTGAAATTTGGCTAAGATACCAAATATATAATCACAATACATAATTTAACAAGTGACCTGAACTGCCTGTGTACTAAAGAGTAGATGTAACCAGCTATTGCAATTGCCCTCGGCCACTTCAAGACAGAGCACAGCCAACACAATGCTACTGCTGCTCATGAACGCTCTTGAAAATAAGTGGACTTGTGCTGTCATTATCCCGGCAGACTTGACGTACATCCACTTTAAGGAAGCACAATATATCACAACCTGAGTCCTGAAAAGACATATTCAACAGTGAAGATCACTTTTACAAGAACAGTTCTTTGCTATAAAAAGTGTCCACTGACATATTTTAAACAACAGTATCTGTAATTAATTTACATAACATAGTTTTTCAGTAATGTTTATTAGTAGTATGAATTACAACAGTGAAGTGTGTCTTTCTTTTTGGCTTTATGCTTATTTATTATTTTAACAGCTCTAATATTCAATAGACTGCATATATTTATAGTGTGCAGTTTGATATATTTTGGCAATCAAGACAGCGAACACGTCCTTCAGCAATAAAAATCTCTTTATGCCCTTTAATAGTCCCTGCCTTGCACCTTTCTGTGCCCCACCCCCTGAAACCACAGGTCTGCTCTATTTATTAATTGTTATTTCTATATTTTATATAAATGAAATTCTACCAACTGTATCCTTTTATGCCTGGCTTCTACTCAGCATAGTTATTTAGTGATTCATCTATGTTGTGTGCATCAGCTGTGTCCCTTTATTGCTGAGTAGTGTTTTACTGTATGGATACAGAGCAATTTTTATCCATTCATCTACTGATGGATATTTAGGTGCTTCCAGTTTTTGGCTATTACAAATAAAGCTGTTATAGATTAGTGTATAAATCTTTTTATGACCATATCCTTTCATTCCTCTTGTGTAAATATCTAGGGGTAGAATGGAAGGATCATTTGGTTTGTGTAAGTTTAACTTTTTTTTTAAGACTTTGTATTGATTTTTAGAGAGAGAGGCAGCAAGAGGGAAAAAGAGAGAGAAACATTGATGTTAGAGTAAAACATCGATCGGCTGCCTCCTGCATGCCCCCTACCAGAGATCAAGCCCACAACCCAGGCATGTGCCCTGACCAGGAATTGAATCAGCAACCTTTCAGTGCATGGGATGACACCCAAACAACTGAGCCACACCGGCCAGGGCTGTGAGTCTAACTTTTTAAGAAACTGCCCATTTTCTAAAGTGGCTGTACGCTGTACCATTTCATATTTTCAACAGCAGTGTATGAAGTTCCAGTTCTTTCATATCCTTGCCACTGTTTGGTATGGTCAGTCTTTCTAATTTTGGACATCCTAACAGGTGGGCTCTTTTTGTGGTTTTGAGTGAAGATGTTGAGCATCTTTCATGTGCTCATTCATCTATTTATGTGCTGTGGAGAGATGTCTGTACAGATTCTTTGCCCATTTTTTTTTTTATTGTTTTGTTTTCCTTATTACAGACATGCCTCATATCATTGTGCTTCACTTTATTGCATTTCAAAGATATGTCTTTTACAAATTGAAGGCAAGAACCTCCACCAGCAAAAAGATTATGACTTGCCTTATTGAGATGCTTGCTTTATTGCAGTGGTCTGGAACCAAACATGCAGTATCTCCGAGGTATGCCCGCATTGAGTTTTGAGACTTCTTTATATATTCTAAATAAAAGTCCTTTATCACATATGTGATTTCTTGCCTTACTGCATTGGCTAGATGCATGGTACTGCACTGTACCTCTTAGAAATATTTTATAAGTCTGTAGCTTGTCTTTTCTTTCTCCTATTGGTGTTTTTCACACAGCTGAAAGTTTCCGTTTGATGAAGTCCAATTTAGCAATTTTTTCTTTTCTGAATCATGCTTTGGTGTTGTATCTAAAAATATCTTTGCTTAAACCAAGGTCGTATCTTTTGTCAGGTTTATACCTACTTAGATATTAATATTTTAATGCAATTATAAATGGTTTAGTTTTTAAATTTAAATTTATGATTTTTCATTGTTAGTAAACAGAAATACAAATGATTTTTCTGTATTGATTTTTGTATCCCGCAGTTTGCCTAACTTGCTTATTAGTTCTCATTGCCTTTTTGTTCTGGTAGATTCCATAGATGGTCTATGTAGAAGGTTATGTTGTCTGTAAATGAAGGCAGTTTACTTCCTTTCCAATCTGGATGATTTCAAGGTTTTTTCTTGCCTTACTGCATTGGCTAGATGCATGGTACTGCACTGTATCTCTAGCATAATGTTGACTATAAGCGGTAAGAGCAAATATCCTTGCTTTGCTCCTGATGCCAGGGGAAACGTATTCAGCCTTTCACTGCTATTTATGATGGTAGTTATAGGTATTTCACAAATGCTTCTGTTGAGCTGAGGAAGTTCCTTTCTATTCCTAATTTGCTGGGAGCTTGTCTTTTTAAAGATCGGGAATGGATGCTGGATTTTGACAAATGCTTTTTCTGCATCTACTGAGATAATCACAGTTTTCCCTTTTTTAAAAAAGTGTGTTAATAAATAACATTGATTTATTTTTGAATGTTAAACCAATCTTGCATTTCTAGGATAACCTCCACTTGATCACAATTTATTTGCCTTTTTACATGTTGTTGGATTCCATTTCCTAACATTTTGTTAGCAGGCAGCACTCAAAACTGGGTGGAACAATTAATGATCTTGGATGTAAATGGTGTGCATAATTCATAAGAAGCAGAAGATTTACGAGACATCTCATTTTTTCTAACCTATTTATTAATGCACCTACACCAATAAGAGAGGAGATTACTGTAAAAAATACAAAGCTATAAGTTTTTCAGTGAAACATGAAGTTAAATAAAATCAAAAGAGAAATGAACGTGAGGTGCAGAGGAAAGAGGAGTGGACCAGGGCTTCTGGTGCAGCTCTGGCACTGACTAGCTTTGTGGATTTTGGATGAATTGCTTTTCTCTGGACCTGCTTCCATGTTTGTAAAATGAAAAGTCTGGACTAGAAGACCAGCAAAGTTCATACAGAGCTACAGTTCTATGAGTCTAAGAGTCTATAAAAGAAATAACTAATTGATCATGGGAGTGGGATATTGTCATTTTACTTGAGAGAAGTTAGCTTTCTGGGACCTTACAAGGACCGATTATGTAGCCTCTTTCTTTCATTGTTGATATTGTAGAGCTGGGTGCAGAGAATGGGAGAGAAGGAACTAGGACCCAAATCCCTAGCTCCCAGAGATGCCAAGTTAGAAAGATCTGTTGAGATAGATCATGGTCTCCCTGAGTAAATGGGGTGGGGGACAAGTCCCTTGAAATGAAATTACCTTTAGGAAATGGGGAATCCAAACCTAGGGGGAGTTAATGGATTAGGTTCTCCAGTCCTGGATATCTCAGCCCAGAGGTTTGTTCTGGGAACCATGACTGACCAAGGAAGTAAAAACTAAAAGAATATGTAACCTGGGAACCCAGAGTGGAGTTCCCCTGAGGTCCAAGTAGGGGCCTGATGACTGTCCTGTAGCAGTGGACACGGGCCTGCCCACCCGGTGGGAGCAGTCATCAGTAGTGGCAAAGCCAGGGCAGGGGATGGACTCTCAGATTCCAGTTCACAAGCAAGATGGTCTTTTTCTGGCTCTAGGGCAGCTGGAGGGAAAGGAGCGGAGAGAATCAAGAAAATACTCCATATCCTGATAAAAGGGCAGGTTTGGGAAACAAAGGAGATGCAGCAATATGCGCACCAAATCGATAAAGTAGGCTTTGATAGTCCCATGAACATGGACAACTGCTTTTTGGGCTAAACCTTCCAGAGAGTTTTAGAAGACATTTAAAACACATCAGATCTGTTCATCAAATGGTGTAATCTAAAACCTATCATTTCCAGGAAGCTGTTGCTAGACTTTAACCTGACTGAGGCTATTCTTGATTTTATTACATTATTCCTGGATAATCCTTCGTTATGCCACGCCAGCACCACTCTATTCCTCTTTGCCTTTATGTTCTTATTGGATCTCACCACTTCCCTCCCTGTTGGCCCCTTTTCAAGCATAATGGGACATACTGTTTCTTCTTTTAGAAACCAGTCAACCCTCCCCATCCTCTGATTATCATGGGTGCTCTTCTAGGAACTCCTCCAATTTGTGTGTTTTTGACTGACTCATGCCAACCTGAAATCTGTTTCCCCTCTCATTGCATTATGTCCCATTTGGTTATCCTTTCTTACTTGCCTTACTAATATTAATTAAACAGCATTCTACCCTTAATGCAGCAAATCCTGAAATC